AWAAWTWAAATKTTCTAGCGGTTGTATTTTTAACACTTCTATTATTTGTATAGGCGTGTTTTTAGATTCTATTTTATTCTGAAAAAAACGTGAAATAAACATGCACCTATGGCGGGTCCATTAGTTTTATTGTTTTGTGATATTAATAACACTTATTTTTTTATATTTTTCTTATTTTGATCTAATTTTTCTTCTGTTTAGCGTCGTCACGTTTGCTAGGYGACTGGAYRWACRCCGGGGTAAGGAYGGGAGGCTAGACCGTCCAAATTCAGACACTTTTTCCCGGTCTTCCCGGTCTACCAACGACCCGGCCCACCTTGACCAGGTAGACGGGGTCCTTCGGAGGACCCGGCCTGTCTTTTTTGGACACAGCCGCTGTGTATTAAACCTAAAGCACTGGATTAAACGGTTCGATACAGATACATGGATTGTTGCATCAGTAAACATAGTGTGCAAGGGCGTAACTTTAAGTCTACCATGGGGGGGGTTATGCTCTAAAACCCTACATGTTATTTTTAGCAATCATGCTAAAACGTACATGTATGACATGGTAATTTTTAAAATCAGGTTAAATCTGCCTAAAGACAACAAGAGAGCTGCATCTGTCTACTTCACCAGTTAATTTCTACTGTGTTTGAGCAAATGATGTCAATTTGTTGTGGGGGGTTGTTTTGACTGGATCAAATTATTGTGGGGGTCAGAACCCCCCTAACCCCCCTGCAAATTACGCCTATGATGGTGTGAGTATTCTATCCTTCAAGTGGAAGGGATTTGTTCATGATGCAGTAGAAACGGCGATGAACTAGTATTTTATGGTAAATGTGGTGGGGTGGGTCCATCAATTCATTATCTACACCTACTTCCTTTTTTCAGGGTCACTGGTGCCCACAGTCATCAGTCACTGTGCGAGGGGGCGGGGTCACATAGAGACAAACAACCGTTCAGTCTCTCACTCACGCTTAGGGACAATGTAGAGTTAAAACCCACACGTGCACGGAGAGAACATGCAAACTCTACCCAGAAAGGATTCAATCCAGCAACCCACTTGCTGAGAAGCAACAGCTCTTCCAACTGAGTCTTCACAAATAATTACTGTAATATGACAGCTATTAGCTGTCTTTTTTATATTTAAAACTTAAAAAAGTCAAATGCACATCTTTAATTCAAACAGATACATAAAAAAACATTTAACAACTTTCAAGCTTAAAGTCACCACCTCTTCTAAATATTTTAAAACCATTTTACTTCCTTGTTGATGTGTACTTTTGTGAAAGAGAACAGTTATAAATACACAAAACTGAAAAAAATAAACATTTATGAGCTTCTTCTGATCCTAAATAGCTAAGAGAATTGGAAAAATGAGCCCAAAGCAAAAAAAGCGTGAGAGTCAAATAGAAAATATTGGGAAGTGGTAACAAATGTTTGWTACTCAGATCACTGAGGGTTTCTGCAAAATCATTTTGCTTTTTTATTTCGGCTTTTTTAAAATCTGTGAAGTGTGCAGTGAAAGTTCAAGTCTCTGCAAACACACTGTGTAAAACCTTCTGTTGTGCAACACCGCCACCTTGTGGAGAACTGTTAGAAAACACTACTTTACTTTTCAAATAAATTAAAACGGACGAAGCTTCTGTTTAACTTCATGTCTTTACTTTCATGAAGCAACTCGTCTGAACAAAACGTTGCAGCACATGAACTGGATGGTATTTGTGTAAAACTAATTAAAGTTTAAATCTTTTCGTTTTGGTCTCTGAGATCATTTATGGCTCTCCAGCTGCTCTCCAGGTTCTGCCTCAGCTCTGCCAAATCGCCCCTGATCTCCTCCAGGAGCTGCAGTTTGGACAGCTTTCTATCTATAGATGAAAGCACCTCCTCTCTTTCAGGATCCCTGACCTGAGGGTCCCACTCCGAGGCAGTGGGGGGGCCGGGTTCGGGGGCCTGAAATGACCCCATGGTTCGTTCCCACACCGTCTCAAAGTAGGAGTCGATGAAGGCCTCCAGCTCGCTCAGGTTGCTGTGACCCGACTGGTCCAGCAGGGCCTGCAGGTCTCCAGACTCAGACATCCTCCGGAGAGTTCTGCCTCTCAGCGCAGGGTGGCAGAGGGTGCGCACGCTCACACCCTCCTCCTCCGAGCACACGCCTGGCTGACTCTGACGTGAAACCAGAAGCATGCTGCGACGTCTGGGTGGGAGCACGTCACTGTCACCGAGTCTCAGGAGGCTGTAAGGATCAGGGAACCCTCCAGCTGGGTCTCTCAGTCCTTGTTTGAGCACCAAGGCSATGAAAGACGTTAAACTGTCTCCGTCCAAAACCAGGAATCCAGTCGGTCTTCTTCCTCCTGCTGCAAAGGCCACGACCTGAGCAGCTCCTGAAGCCTCTGCAGCGCTCAGTGGTGGAGAGGATGCTGCTGATTCAGCTGCTGCAGAGGAAGAATGGGATGTTTTATACGTTTTTATAAAGATACAAATACAAAAAGTCAAAGAAAACATCTTTATATTTAAGAAACTTGGCATAATACACACAATTTTACCCATTTTGTCACATAACTGGCAGATTTTCTTCAGATTTTGGCTCAGCCAAAGTGAAACAGGAAGTGACATCATTGGGGAATTCTTTAAGAAATGAAACTGTTTTTCTTTTTTTTTTATTGTAACCAGTGTTGTATAAAKTACCTCAAAGTGATACTTGAGTAAAAGTCTTAAAGTATCTGAAATTTTTTGTACTTAAGTATCAAAAGTAAATTTCTGACACAAAATCTACTTAAGTATTAAAAGTAAAAGTACTGAGTAAAAGTGAGCAGTTAGATTTTCCAAAAGGACATTTATTGGGAGGTGACTTCTCCAAAAAATATTTTTGATGATGGGTTGTGTACAAGCTAATATGGTGTCAGAATGGTAAATATTTATACTTCTCATCCAACCACAATTAAATTCACTCTATCCAGGAGACATAATTTATCAGGATAGTATTTTTTAAGTAATAACTCAGAATAAAATAGGAGTAACGACTTTCTACTTCTTACCTTTTAAAAAAATGTAGTGAGTAGAAAGTACAGATAATTGTGTAAAAATGTAATGAGTAAAAGTAAAAAGTAAACTGAAAGATAATTACTCAAGTAAACTACAGATAACCAAAATTTCTACTTAAGTACAGTAACAAAGTATTTGTACTTAATTACTTTACAACTCTGATTGTAACAATTTAATTTGRACTCTGACTCTTCATCTCTTTGTTAGTGACTCAAAATGTGTGTTGTTATTGTAACAACGCTCTGTTTACCTGCAGACATTCCCCTTTGACATCACTTCCTGTTACTTCACATGCAAATATCTCAACAACTGTTCATCCCAACAGTGTAAAATTATTTTTGTAATATGTTATCAATGTTGTCTTTCCAACAATGCATTCATATTTATTGCAAAAATTTGACGTCACAGGCGCTTTAAATTCTGTCATCATATTCTTCTGATGAACACGACATCGTTTAAAAAAATAACACAAACCTAAAAGGAGAAAAAAGTCTCCAAGTTTGTGGAGAAATTTAAAAAAAAGTAAAAAACAGAGATTGACTCACTGTCATGATATCTGCTGCTTGTTGCAGCTGACTGCTTCTCTGCAGGACGAGGCTGTTTCCACATCTGATCTCCTGTCTGAAGAGCAGCCAGCCTCGCTCCAACCAGCATCTCCTCCAGCAGCTCCAGCAGCTCCCTGACCTGAGCTCCGTCTCCCCGGCTCTTGTTGTCCAACACGTGGTAGCGGTTCCCGCAGCGCTCCACGAGCCTCCGCAGCGGCTCCCCTTCGCTCTCGATGCGCCGCTCGATGCTGGCGTCTCCCAGCCGGTCGCCGTGGCTGAACAGCACCAYGGCTCTGCTCCACAGCCGGACCCCTCCGCCCTCCAGCTGCTCCTCCACGCGCTCCCCGTGGAGACGGGTGAAGGAGGCGCTCAGGTTGACGACCAGCAGCAGAGCAGAGGGTGTCGTCAGGAGGTCGGGGGTCACCGGGAAGCGTCCCGGCGTGTCCACGACCGACACGGTGGTCTCAGAGAGCCGGCAGGTTCGCCGGCTGCAGGAGCTGGTGTGGGTGTCGGTGTGGAAGCTGTCTCTGGTGAGGATGGTGTTTCCACTCGAGCTTTTTCCTGCTTTCCTGCAGCCGGCGAGAATCACTGTGAGCTCCTGCAGAGGGCCGAGCTTCTCTGTTGGAAACGTGTTCGAAATATTAATCAGAAACTTTTAACGTCAATAAAACTAAAAACCATCATTGGATGAACTTTGTCTAAACCTTCCCAACACAAACCAAACACTAACTGTGTGAGAGCTYATAAAAACAGATGTAATGGATTTAATTAAAAATGTATTTCCACTGGTGACACTCAACTGAACTGAGTGAAGGTAACACATTTACGTTACGTTTACTTAAAGTAAATAACTTTTTAATTACTTAATTAAATCCRTTGAGAAAATCCAACATTCGTTTGTACATTGTTTTTGCATCTCACTCGTTCCACAGTTTTTGTGCTAKTTTAGTATTTTCTACCTCAAAACCTTTCAGCTCCTTCAGGACTGTGATTTCAGCAATGACTTTTATTTTTACATAAAAATGATCCTTCAAAATCTTCAAAATGTTTCTAAATCTTTACTGTAATTTTGACCTTTTRTTCTAATTACAACTTCTTTTAGCTTCTTTTTTTTAGCTTTTTTCTACTTTTTCTGCTATCCTCGCTGATTTCTTTTGTGTTGTGCTTTCCCCAGCTACTTTTAACAAATGTTTTCTTTTTTGTGCTTCATTTAGTTGCTTCTGTTGATTCCAGCAGTCTCCTGCATTTATACGTCTTTTCTATTTTTAGCTAATTTTATCTTTATTTTTGTTAAATTATCATTATTATTATTATTATTGTTAAAATTTTGTGTTCTTACTACTTAATACGCTAGTTTCTGATTTTTAAGCTTTTGTAAGTTATTTTAATCTGTTTTAACTATTTTGCAAAACTAATTTTCTTGTTTTTCTGATAGTTTAAATGTTTTTCTCTACTTTATTTATTTATTTAAGTGTTTTTTTGCTATTTTCAGCTAATTTTATTTCAGCTAACTTTACCTCTTTGTAATAATTTCAGCTTCTTGCTTAATTCAGCAAACATACTCTGTCTGCTTCTTTGTGCTCTTTTTTTCAGTTAATTTCAGCTGATTTAACTATTTAGCAAATTCCAACTTTTTTGGCTCCTTTTCTTGTTTTTCTGTTATTTAATTTATTTTCTCTACTTTCACCATCTGTCTGCTAATTTCAACTACTACTAMAAGCTACTTTTAGCTTCTTTTTGCTAATTTGGCTACTTTTGCTTGACTCGACTTTAGCAACTTTCAGCAATTTTATTCTTTTTTGTGCTGCTTTCAGCTGTTTTCAGGTAATTCCTGTCTTCTGCTTTTTTAAGTCTTATTTCATCTATTACCATGTACGAGTCATGATCTGTGTGTTTTTGCTTTCATTTTCTGGTGTTTCTCTGTTTCGCTGCTGTCTCACCTCCAGCCCCGCCCACGCTCACCTGTTTCCTCGTGTCTCCCCAGGTGTTTCCCATTGTCTCTTAATTTGTTTGCCTTTATATTCTGTGTCCTGTCTTCAGTGTTTGTTGGTTCATTGTGCTGCATCCCCTCATGTGGTGTCTTCGTGTTTTTCCTGAGCTACTAAGTAAGTTTTGAGCTGCATCGCCAGCTTTTTTGTTTTTTAATTAAGCCTTTTTATTATTAAATAAAGC